GTGGTGTGCAGAGCAATAAAATTAAGGGATGGCAAACTCTTTAAAGTTTAGGGAAGGCAAAATTTTTAGAATTTAGCGAGAGCTTGATAGCAGAATTTAGGACAGATGAAGATAGTGCTGGCCCTGGATAAGCCTCAAGAGATTATCACATCTAGTAATACGGACGGGACTTTTCTGAGAAACGAGGTTCTGGTAGGACTGGTTAAAACGTGAGGATTCATAGAAAAAAGAGCCCTGTTGGAAGCGAAGTCCCACGTAGCTACAGGAACGATGCACTGGCTACGCGTGATTTTTTAAACTTCGCCGAAAATGTTTCTGCTACACCTCTGTCCCGCGTAGAACCAACCAATCAGATGAAAGTTCTGCTTCTGAAGAATTGCTTGATCCCAATCTGCATGATAATCGATTACTTTTTGACATTCAAGTCTTTGAAGTAACTGAAAATGGTAACCTAGCTATGTGGGTTTCCTGTAACTGTGCGGGTTCTGAGAATTATCCTTTTCGACATCGTTTCTTGTAGTCGAAGCATAATGTGATTGGGACTTTAAGATATCAGGGAATTCATTTATTCAGCACTTGGATGAGTTTTAATCATGTGCATGAAATAGACACAAGTATAATAAATAACTAAACCAATGTAAAGGCTTGATATCGTTCATGTGATGGAAGTGAGACAAAATTTAGTGGAACATGTCTTTAGTAGCTAATCTTGCTAATCTCGTGATACATCAGCAGTACTGTATAGCGGAGGTTACGATGATAGACCCTGTTAGAAAAAATACTAAAAAATGTTTTTAAAAAATCTGAAAGCTTTCAAATTTTACTTTATGCTCAAAGGTTTTTTTTTTTTTAATGGTTTGTGTGCTGTTTGTTAACATTTGTGTGCTTTACTGTTCGCCTGGAAGACGGTGTACCCTGACATGGCTTCGACGGGATGAATGAGAAATCATGCTTGACCAGGCAACTATCTTTCACTTACCTATAGTCCAGTCTTGATGTTCCCAGGCCCAGTGTATTGAGTTGAGAAGATGCTTAGTTGAGAAGATGCTTGATCAAGAGAGGAACGCGAGTGAAATGTCTTCTGCTCAGCCCCATATCTATTAGTGTCTACTGAACTGTGTGTTCCAAAATACTTGTACCCACATTGTATTGGGCCAATGCAGTATTCGGATGTCGACCGAGTCGCTGTCTTGCGCGACTTTGCTGTACCAAGAGAGACAGTCTCCAATGTCTTTTTTCTTTGTTGACATGTGAACATCTAACACCTTGGCATCTACTGCTGGTTTCACTGTCATTTATTCACTTTGGATAAATACTAATAATGGCAGATTGTGAACAGTCTACCAGTCGTGCAGTTTCAGAAATACTTGTACCAAGTCTTCGGGCCATTACAATCTGTCCTCTATGAAGTTGCTTAGATCAGCAGCCTTTCCTATCACTTGCAAAAGTAAGTGCAACAATGCTTCCTTACCTTCTCCAGCAGTGGTTAAGTACCATTCCCACTTAATCACATGCCCTTCACGTCATCCAGACGAGTTCATTGAAAAATGTGTTGATGGCCATAATGTTTTGCCTAGTAAGTGAAGGTGTTAAAAAATATATTTGCAATTTAATGTTATCTACTTTAAAAAAATGTAGAGACTTATTTTAAAACCCTTGTTATTGAAAATGGCCAGACACTTGCAACTTAATGCATTTGTTGGGAATGGCCTAAACTCGTAAGTCATTTAACAATCTCATCACTGAAAATGTTACTGAGGTGATGACCAATTTATACCTGTGAGAAAGGGAAGTTCTATTCCAGTTTTGAAGGAGAATGTCTCAAAGGATGGACCCATGGATCTCTGATCACTCTTTCCCTAACCTCTTGAGAAGATTTTCAACTCAATGGTATTCTGTTTGCCCATAGAACAAAGATACTTTATGCTTATAAACATGCATACCTTTTCCCGAATGCCAAGGTCCAAGACTATGACATTCGGCTTCCCTACTACCAAGCTATCATAGCGGTGTTTTCAAACTTCTTTTTATAGTTATGTTACATATTAAATTGTGTTTAATAATAAGGCATTCTATGTGTTCTTGTTGTATTTTTAGAATGGTATAAGATTGAAGGCAATTGCATAGATAATTAAATTTTTGTTTTGCTGAAGGTCCATAATTTTTTCATTGACAGCTCTTAAAAATCCATAAAAGTCCTTAAAATTATTTATGAATCATATATATGTATAATAAAGTTTATTATGTGATTATTTATGTTTGTGTATAGAAGGGAATTTTAGAGGTATTTTGTATATTTCACTATAAAAAGTGTCTTTGTACTTTCTATACATTTTATTGTTTTCCATTTAAGGGGAAAATTTTTTTAAAAATTTGCTTTCATAGTACAGTGTGTCTAATAAAATGATTTACACCACAGAGAAGGGAGTGCATAATTTTTATCAGAAAGTATTGGTTATTATTAAATTAGTTTTCTTGCACCATATTTAAGGTCCAGTTCTACAAACAGTATCAGAGCCTATAAATTCTCTTGGTACTGTTCTGTTATTGGGACCGGATTCAGAAATATATGTATGTATGTCTATATATGTGTATATGTATACGCACACATTCGTACATACAAATATATACATGTATACATGAACACATACATCCATGCATATGTACATTTCTGAATCTGGTTCTGATAACAGTACCATTCTCTGTACAGCACTGATCCTAATAAAGTAATCCAGTTCAATCTTTAAATACTGTACTCTGTATACCTTAAATTCATTATTTTAGAAATTATTAATAATTGTTGACTGGACACAAGGAACTTTATGACTTTAGTGAACTGTAGATTGCAAAACACAGTTTAATGAAAAAGAGAGAGAGAGAGAGAGAGCATGACAGCTTTCACTTTGTTCAATTTGAATAAAAATTTTGCAATTTAAATATTTGAATGTTGAAATAACAATGAATATTATGTTATATCAAATTTAAGCTGTGTAAAAGAAATTTGTACAGTCCTTTAAAGTATTCTTATTTTGAAAGACAGAAAAACTGAGCTAAGGCAGTAATATGGTTCATCTTACTTGTCTTACCACAGTTAAGGCCACAAACTTTAATGTGGCAAGAGCAAAAGATAGTGTTTGTCATTGGGTGAGTAGTGCCATTTAGGTGATAGTACAACTTTGCCCAGTTCCACACCAATTCTAAAGGAAAGCAAATCAGGGAAAGGGTACATGTGTCCCCCACCCCTCTTCCCCTCACCATCAAACCACTTGAAAGGACTTTCAACGCACCATATATTTTGAATGCCTTCATTCTGTACGGACACTATGTATTTACAAACATCCATGCTGTGATGAAGTGATGAACACCACACATGCACATTTTAGCTGAAAGACGCGCTTTTTCACCCCTCTCTCACGTGACACTGGGTCAAGATTATAGAAGAGAATGTTACGATAATGGATGTTGCATGCTGTATACCAGTGGAATATTCTGTTACAACTTTATGTAAACTATTTGTTTTGTTCTTGTTATAATAAAGTGTTTGTCCTATTAATACATATGCTATATGAAAATGCCAACATCAAGTTCATGTTAAATATATCTAGAACCCACCTCATGACCTCATGTCAGCGTCACTAACTGCCAATCCTGTCTTGGTGGTACTATAATAATACTGAATTCTATTGTTATAGAGCAGGGGTTCTCAACCAGGGTTGAGAACTCCCTTTGAGGAGAATTTTATAGTTTCAAGGGTGTTGGAATGCAGTCAGCCTTTTATTTACCTGTTTAAGTATTTAATTTTGATTTATGGATTAAAAAAAAATTACTTTTATTCAAGTTCTGGTATTCATTAACTTTTTGTATACTTTCTCTTTTTTAATTTATAAAATGCATTAAAAATATTCTAACATTAAAGAAATGTATTTGTATTTTTCGTGTTTTGTAAAAAGGAAGGGGGGTGAACATCTGGCAATGATGAAAGGGGTGCATAGGACTAAAAAAGATTTGAGACCACTGTTATAGAGCATGCATCATTAGTCCCAGAGGTGCTGGTATTGACCGACACCATGTGATAATAGCCTACATGACCTCTCAATACTTACAATGTCTAATATGAGTTCTAGTGGTCCATAAAATCCGAACATGCAATGAAAGAAGTAGGTATATGTACACCTGCTTATTTAAATGATTATGTTCTATGCTAAATTATTTGAAATTATTCTGATTAAATGTGCATTGTATTATGACATACATGTATGAAAATTTTTTGCAAAGTATTTAATGGGATTAGTCTGTTTTACTCTATTATAAGAAACGTAATGGACAGCTACTATTAAAAAGAGGATAACTGCAACTGCAATGACAGTTGTATCATTATTACCATGGATTTTATGCATCATACATGAAGAACAGTTCTAGGCATTTAAAGAAAGTCCATTTTTATTTTAGTAATTCAAGTTTTTTTCCTTCTATTGTATGTTAGTGTATCTGTGTATAAGTCAAACTACTAATTATTATATTTAGTTTAGAGTCCTTCATTTTTACATTATAAGAACAGCCTATAAGATTACCTAGTCTCTGAATTTTGCTGCTATTGACCCATGATTAGATTTTAATACTAATGGAATGTTTTTAATTGCATACTGCATAGCTGTTGCATTTTGTTTCTAATGTGATAAAAGTTTGCTCTTAATATTGCAAAACAGAAGAATACAATTATAGATGATTTTAAGAAGAAAAAAACAAGTCATATAATAATAATGATTAATTATATTTGAATTTAATAACAAACACTGCTTTTGTAGCTAAAAATATTGCATCATCACTGTTAATTTGATTTCATTTACAAACTGATGTTATGTCTATTTTTGCCCTGCTTTCACACTTGTATGATTCTTTGTTGTTGAAAATAATTCATAAAATTTTCTATAATGTAGTTAACAATCTAAATTCTGATATTAATGAGGTTTATTTTATTTTTTTTTTTTTTTTATAAATAGTTGGTAATCTTCCATTAGACACAACAGAAGACCAGCTAAAAGAGATATGTTCTGAAATTGGACCACTTATTAATGTAAAGTAAGTATTTAAAATTAGGAAAAAGAGTAACTTTAGTTTAACATAGAATTTTGAATAAAATTCTATTGATTTCAAGACTATCAGACATTAAATCCATCTTCTTCAGTTAAAAGGAGTAATTATTCTAGAGTTAAGTCATGTGTTACCATTGGAAACACTTATAATTTATTATTTTCATTTCTTATATCATGCTAAATTGTAATAACAAATTGCCTTCCATTTGTAATTGACCACTGGGAAGGCTAACTGAAAATTCTGCGAATTGCTGCCATTTCTCGTGAATGTGGAATGTGTAGAAGAACTAGTGTAATCGCTTTTTGGAAATTAAAATTTGATATTGTTTCATTTGTTCCTGAAACTAGTGAAGTGAAGATCATCTTTTATTGGGTTATACTGTTTCTTTTTATTTATCTTTATGCATTTTTATTTTGGTTTCCTACAATTTGACAGGAATTTTCATGTGTTAAATGCTAAAAAAAATCGGGAACTTTTTTCAGAACTTCAAGATGAAATTTGTGATGCATGTAAATAATTTAAGTCAGATTAAAAATATAAACAGAAGTTTTGAAAAATAAAAAGGTTTATTAGATTTATGTTTTATTATTTTTTTGGTGTATTTAATTTTACAATTATAAACAAATACAGTCAAAAGTTTTTAATCCGGACTCGTCGGGTCTTCGGCGATTCCAGATTATCGGTTTTTCCGGATTATAGATCATCGGTTTAAATCTGGTAAGATGGCATGCAGAAATGGTAAAATAAAAAATATGAAAATGTAATTTATGAAATAAAGAGCAATTATAATGTAAAGGGTATCAAAATTTACAAAAAAAAAGCCTAATATTTATTTGTTTACTTTATTAAACATTTCTTTCAACGCGCGCATGTGTAAAGCATACATTATGCATAGTCCAAAAATAGAAAATTGCAACCAGAAAACTATTTGATGTGTATTTGTGATATTTATAATGACGAGGAAATTGATTTAAATTATATCGGAGTACATCAAGATGAAACACTTCATTTAGTGAGGAATTATAAGCCGAATAAAAAAAAAAACATCTGCCCTGAAGATGAGGATAGTGCTGACAGATCAACTTCCAGTTCATTGCGCACCGCTACGCCCCCCCCCTGTACCTGAAATTGTGAAGTGTGAAATTGATAAACAGATTTCAGAATGGCTAGAGACACAGATCACCTCTCTGTCACTTTCTTCATGCCTTTATCCATTTTTTGCAGCAATTCCACTTTTTGTTTAATTGGACATCGAAACATTCTTTTGCTTTGTAGATCCTTTGGCAGCTCCAGAACTGGAAACTTTTTACCATAATTGAAAGTTCAAGCTTACTTTTTATAAAATAGCTCTAACAGTCTGCAAAAAATAATAAGCCAGATCCAATTCGAAGATTAAGGAACAACGCAATCTGCAACATTAACTGAAATAGATAATTAGATAATTTTAGCTTAGCTTACACCGTCCGTAATGCATTAAATGCGCATGTGTAAAGGTTTTAAACACATGCGAAGAAAGTTTGTAGCTTTGAGGTCCGGATTATAGATCATTTCGGATTATGGACATCTGGATTAAAGAATTTTGACTGTATCATGTTTTATTTCAAAACTCGAACATGTGTTGGTAAAACCATTACTGTTGGTGGACTTTGCAACTAAACATGTACTGTTGCCAAAGGGTTCTTTGCTGAAGTAAACCCATTATTTATATTATTCACAATGAAATGTTTAAAAGTTCTTCTTTCTGATGAGAGCAATTAGAATTGCAGTGCTTCGTTCATTTATAGGATTGTGTTTCATTTCTGTTTGAGTTGTGCCACCTCTGTCTGGACGTTAAACAAGGAAACATTTACTCATTTTCCTGAAGATGCCTTCGAAAGTTCACGGTTTTGGTAAAATTCTGTCTACATTGTTAAGTTCAGCGATAGACTTTCGTCAGTTTTAATGATTTTTCCAGGTCCAACAATTTTATCTTTTTAGTGTTTATATAACTAGATAATTTTAGTTTAGCTTAAGCCATCCGTTATACATTAAAAACGAGCATGCGTAAATGCCTTATGCGTTTATGCATGCGCAGAAAGTTTGTAGCTTTGAGGTCCAGATTATAGATCATTCTGGATTATGGACTTAGCTTAGCTTAAGCTAAGTCCATAATCCAGAATGTTTACTTGTTTCTAAATACAGTCAAAAGTCTTTAATCCTTTTGACTGTATTTAGAAACAAGTAATAATCTAATTAGAAACAAGAAACAAGTAGTAATAAAATTAAAAATATGAAAATATAATTTATGAAATAAAGAGCAATTATAATGTAAAGGGTATCAAAATTTACAAAAAATATTTATTTGTTTACTTTATTAAAAATTTGTTTCAACGTGGGCATGCGTAAAGCATACATTACGCATAGTCCAAAAATAGAAAATTGCAACCAGAAAACTATTTGATTGTTTCTAAATGCAGTCAAAAGGATTAAAGACTTTTGACTGTATTTAGAAACAAAACCACAGATTTTAATTACAGTCAGTGATTTGTTTCTAAATACAGTCAAAAGGATTAAAGACTTTTGACTGTATTTAGAAACAAAACAACAGATTTTAATTACACAAAAATTAGATTTTAATTAATGTAATGGCTACCATTGGTGTATTGATGCAATTTTTTAATATTTGGCATAAAACTGCCTTATACTTAAAGCACTTCACTCAAAAATATTCATTTTTTTTTCTGGATTCTAATTCTAATTTTGCATTATTTCTATTTTTTTTTTTTTTTTTTAATTTTGTTTTGAGTTATACTCTTTTTATATCTCACTTGTTGCATAAAAAATTCATGTATTTTAAAAATATTTTTGATTTAAATATATATTAAATAATATTAGTGTATTTTTCTCCTTATTTGTGTGGCAGACCACACAAAGATAAGAAATTCATGTGTGCATTTCGGTTACAAGTCGCAATCTTCAAGCTGTTACCAGGTGTGAGATGACATCATCTTACCTTACAGAAGCAATAATGTCTTCAGTAATGCTTCTACTTGACATTACAAAAGCCATAACTTCATTACTAATTTCAGATTTTAGTGATTTGCTCTGTTTCCGTAAACAAAGCCTCTTGATTTCAGGGGGCTGATTAACCAATGATTTTGCAGCTCTCTGATTTGTCTTCAACTGTTGTGAATCAGAAGATGTAAAATACAACCAAAAATTAGAAAAGTATGAGTAATTCAGTCTTGAGAAATGTCCCAGGCAGAGCAAGTATACAGAATGCTGTAAAACTCTCAAATGGAGATACTTGCCACTAGCAAGATCCTCACATAATGAGGACAGTAACTGTACTTGCTTTCTAAGTAATTGCTTCTATGCATTTAATACTGATTACAAATTGTTGTTGTTTTGTTAACAGAACTTCTTGCAGATTTATAATAAATGTATTTTAGATCCATATGCAGTTAACATGCAACTTAAACAAAATGTATCCAGCACCAGTCACTACAATGGAGTCACCTAACTAGCACACCAGTGTCACAGCGGATGACCTCAAACATAAACACCCTAACATGGAGGCATTGCATGGTATTGTCCCTGTGCGTTCTTTTTAGACCTTATGGTGCCATCTGTAATTGTTTTGAATTAGTTGCTGCTGGGCTACTCTGCTAAATATTAATGCCGATGTTTGCCAATAGAGAGTGCCTCTGAAGGTCATTGTTCTTGACTGATGCTGCTATGCCTAGTATAGAACTTTTGAACTTTGGTGCCATAGCTTGATTGCTAAACCAATTGAGTCAAAAACAGTGATGGCATGAAAAACGTCAAGGATCTTGGCGATATCTTTCTTGCATGGTTAATGCAGTGTGCTGTATTTATATTACTTTTTTCTTACTGTTACAACATAGCAAAATACCAATAAACAACTGATTATCAGTTTTAGTAATATATATTTTTTTATAAGCAGTGAAATATTAATTATGCCAATCACTTGTTGGTGAATATTTGGTTATTGATCCCTTGATCATAAATTAATCCTGTAACGTTTTTTTTTTTTGCAGCATTTAATGAACTAAATGATGAGCTTCTTAGTAAAATATAGATTTTATTCTCAGTTTGTAGAGATGGATAATTTAATACAATTCGATCTGTTACAATATCACACTCCAGCTCACTATTGCATTTTGTTTCTTGATAAATTTTACGCTCATCTACAAAAAGGTAGTCATCCAGAATAATTTTTCAAACATTTTTTGACATTGCTCATCAAAAGTTATGCAATACAAAAATATGCCGTTTCTGCTCCAGTGTCAAGGACAGTGTATATATATATTTGTTAACTAAGAAATTATTACAATCTCTGCCTCCTCCAGATAAACTTTAATTGATATTTTTATAAATTAAAGTTTATAATTTCTTCTTTCAAAATAACACAGTAGCATATACATAATTGAAATACAATATATAACATAATAACATACAGTCCGAAAGAGAGGAAGGAATAAAATAATTTTCTATTTAAAATTCAGGCTAGGGAGTACAACTTAATGCATCAACATTTTTATAGTTTTTCCGCTTTGATGAATGACAGTGTAATTAATAGGATTGTAATACCAGTGCTCATCTCATAAATCAAGGATTTAGACTTGCATTATTTTTGGGGATTATGATCAGTCATGATGAGGAATTTAGTATGTCCATCTGAATGCATTGCAATTTCTTTATTGCAGATATGGTGGGGCATTCCTTTTCTGTGGTAGTGTACCTTTTTCCAGTTTCTGTAAACTTCTTACTGAGGTATAATACTGGATGTTCATTGTCTCATTCATCTTTCTGAGCTAAAATAACACCCATATCAGAGTTTGAAGTATCAGTTTGCAAAATAAACTCCTTATTGAAATAAGGTGCATGTAGGCTTTTACAACAGTTTTTCCCTTTAGCTCTTCAAATGCTTTTGTGCAATCTTCTGTCCAATTTTTTTTCTCTTTCTGTTCAAAAGTTTCCTT